AACCAGACTGGTAGAAAGATCAAACGTCTTAGGACGGACAATGGAGGGAAATATAAAAGTGACTCATTCTTTGACGTTTTCCATGATTATGGTATTGTTCGACACTTCACTGTTAGACATACACCACAACATAATGGGGTGACAGAGCGTATGAATCGAACACTATTGGAGAAAATCCGATATATATTGTCTAATAATGGGTTAGGCAAGGCATTTTGGGCTGAGGCTGTGACATATGCTGGCCATCTCATCAATCTTCTGCCGTCATCAGCGATAGGAGAAAAAACACCCATTGGAGGTATGGTCTGGAAAACCTGCTACTGATTATGATTCCTTACATGTATTTGGATCCACTGCTTATTATCATGTGAAGGAATCCAATCTTGATCCGAGAGCAAAGAAGGCTCTCTTTATGGGAATCTCCGAGGTACAAGCGATAGGAGAAAAAACACCATTGGAGGTATGGTCTGGAAAACCTGCTACTGATTATGATTCCTTACATGTATTTGGATCCACTGCTTATTATCATGTGAAGGAATCCAATCTTGATCCTAGAGCAAAGAAGGCTCTCTTTATGGGAATCTCCGAGGTACAAGCGATTTGATAGCTTTATGAGGAGGCAAAAGTATACTAGAAGAAAATATGCTCATTGTGTGTATTTGAAAAAGCTCAAAGATGGATCTTTCATTTATCTTCTCTTGTATGTTAACGATATGTTGATCGCTTCGAAGAGTCAAAAGGAGATAGACAAATTAAAGGCTTAGTTGAATCAAGAGTTTGAGATGAAAGATCTAGGTGAGGCCAAGAAGATTCTTGGTATGGAGATAAGCAGAGATAGATAGAGAGGGAAACTTTGTTTAACACAGAAGCAGTATCTGAGAAAGGTATTACAATGTTTTGGCATGAATGAAAATACCAAACATGTAAGTATCCCATTGCTTCTCATTTGAAACTTAGTTCTCAATTATCTCCTAAAACTAACGAAGAACGAGTCTATATGGCAAAAGTTTCATATGCTAATGCATTGGGAGCTTGATGTATGTAATGGTACATGCATGATCCTGGAGAAGGACATTGGCAAGCTGTGAAATGGATTCTACGGTATCTTCAACAAACCGTGGATGTTGGTTTAGTTTTTGAACATGATGAAGCACTTTGTCAGTGTGTGATTGGATATGCTGATTCCGATTATACTGGTGATTTGGATAAGCGTCGATCAACTACTGTATTTGTTTACTCTTGCTAAAGCCCCAGTAAGTTGGAAGTTTACATTCAATCTACGGTGGCCTTGTCTACTACAGAGGTAGAATACATGGCAGTTTCAGAGGCTGTAAAGGAAGCAATTTGGCTTAACGGATTGATGGAAGACTTGGGAGTTGTTCAAAGTCACATTAGTCTCTATTGTGACAGTCAGAGCGTTATTCACTTAGCGAAAAATCAAGTCTACCATTCAAGGACTAAGCATATCGACGTGAGGTATCACTTTGTGCGGGAGATCTTTGAAGAATGAAAGATTCTACTTCAGAAAATTGCGACATCAGAAAATCCTGCAATTATGATGACCAAGGTGGTAACAGTAATCAAGTTCAATCATTGTTTGAACTTGATTAACATCCTGAAAGTATGAACACCTTCGGGTGTGTGGCGCTTGTGAGCTCAATTAGAGGCACTACAAATTTGGGGAGTTGAAGAAGTTGAGTAGGCTTGGTAATTTCAAGCCAAGGTGGAGATTTGTTAGATTTGTTTAGAAATTAAGTTGACAAGTTGGAAATTTCATCTTGGTTGGTGGCCAACTTATTGGAAATTTCATCTTGGTTGGTGGCCAAACTTTGAACATGTGAATTTCATATTTGGTGGCTAACTTGTACACATTGGAAAATTCTTTGGTAGGTGGCCAAACTTTGAACATATTGTTCTTAAAACTCAACTATAAATAGCCTAAGTATTTCCATTAGAAATCATCCCAAAAGCAAGTTCTCTCTTGCTCTTGTATTCTTCATTCTCCCACTTTGGGAATTCTAAAGAATTCCATTTGTTGTAATATTGGCGATATAGTGAAGTTATCATCCGGTGTGGTGCCTGAGGAGTAGACGATATTCTCGTCGAATCTCGTAAATTTGGTGTGTTCTCTCCTTTATTGTTTTTTATTCGGTTTTTCCATTGTGTTCCAATATCCAATAGTTTGACAGATTTATCCGTTGTGCAACCTTTGGTGGTTTTGATCTTGACATTTTAGGTCAATTTTGAAACTACGTTCGTGTGGGAAATAACCCGATTTCCCCAACAACTATAACATAGTATGTCTAGGTGTCTAAGCTTAAATTATGTTAATTATGAAAATTGATCATATATCGAACTTTGATTATCATATCATTTATTGGGATGCATTCAAATATGTTTTCAATGTGGACTGCTATGTTTCATAAATTTAGAGCATGATAACTATTGGAATGGAATTATGATGTGATAATGACAATTATATATATATATATATTACATTATGTATATTGATGAATTGATAAGTGAAAAATGTGATTAAATGATTGTCATGTTTAATTTAGCTTAGTATCAAATATGACTGACATGTCATAAAGTTTATAACGCATGTGATCATCATTATTTTAATTATAGATATTCTATTCGAATCTATTAGAGTAATGTCATATATATAGTGGTGTTTGATATGCTTATTTTGTGATAATATCCCAATTTGATAGGATAAATTTGTGTAAACTATGATCAACTATATATATTGTAGTTCACATGTCAAAGTAAATGTCTATATATGAGTGTATAGTTTAAGGGTAAACTACACTCTTAGTTATTAATATATTCTCTTTTCTATTTTAGTCACTAAATTATTTATAAAAAAAAAATCAGTTATAAATGGACAAAGGGTAATGATGAATAGGTTAAGCATGATGAGTATGCAATGTATGTATGTATATATGTAATAGACTAGTTATGGTAATGTTAGCGTGTAATGTATGAGGGTAACGATGAATAGGTTAAGCATGATCATGGGTATGCAATGTATGTATGTTTGATTCAATTTCATTTCTAAATTGTACGAGTAGCATGTTATAATGATTTGAAGATACTTAAAAGACTGCATGTGACTTTGTTGTTGGTAAGTAATTCATGTTGGGTGATTTCTAAATGTTTAGAATGTGTTTTGAAGGTTTCTTATATTTTAATAATGTACTAAGTGTTATTTTGGAGCTTAAGAAAGTCAAAATGATAATTCCAAGTGAATGGGTTCCAAAATGATGATCATCCTGAAACCATTGAGTATTGGTTGGACTACACCCTCTGAATTTTAAACAAGAAACTTAAACGAGTACAATCTTAAATGTACAGTCTCTTCTTTCCAATAAGGCTCAAAATTGGTGAAAAATCATAATTTTAATTTTTTTAAGGATAAAATCATTTAAGGATTCTTAACGAAGAACTCTTAAAGAACGTATATCAATGATATTACCTAACCGAAAGATAAAGTGGTTATTCCATCTCAAGTAAAATAATCAATATGTATATCAATATGTCGATATGATATTGTTTTCATTAAGAAAAAGAAAGTTAAATTTCAGATATTTTTAGATTCATATTAAATGAAATTTTATGTTCGGTATTCACTATTTGGGCTTTACAAATTTCTAAGAATTTGTCAAGTGGATTACAACAATTGAAATTGCTCAAGGATCATTTGAGAAAAAGTCTGTGAACCCGTAATTTTTATAAAGCGAGATTCATAAATTCCTTAGACCGTTTCACCTGGCAAACCAATATGTATTATTATCATAAAATATAACATAAATTAAGTAATAACTATGTTATAAATCATAAGATATTAAAAGTATAATATAAACAAAAATATAAATATTATTAAAGTTCCTGAATTACGGAGATATTTAACATCTGCTGCGTTAAAAGCATTAATAGGGGAAAACAAATTTGAGGTAACAAATTGTTCCCGAATTAGTGGTTCGATTTTCCACAAAAGATACATTAGTGACCAACACTGATGGTGTTAGTAATTTAGTAGGGCGTCCAAGGTATTGAAATGTGATAACCAAAATTTCATTCTTTTCTTACAGAACAATCAATGTTTAGTTCCTTAATAATGAACAATTTTCTTTTATTTTGTCTTGTTGAGTGATTTATCGATTTTAAGTTGAAACTCAAATAAAATAAAATAAAATAACAAAATTATATTAAAATCGGGACGTTTTGAAATGACAAAAATAAAAAGTCGGGCCATGCATGTATTACATATGTATAGGGAACTAATTTCTTCGTCCCCACCGCATTCATTATTTTTTGTTCTAATGTAACCATATTACTTAAAATCGTCTCTTTTGTACAGTTTTTCGTAACGCTTAAGGTCCAATATAAAATTAAAATTATGCAAAACTGATATTATTATACATGATTTTTATTTTTTTATACAATATCGATATATTTACGTTTCAAAATACACACAAATTTATATAAATAAAAATTATTTTAAATATAAATATGATACGATAAAATATGCTAACAATTTTTTTTAAAAAATGCAGAGAATACAATTGGTCAACGGCCAACCATAAAACCTGCTTACTAACATAGTTGTCATCTCTTTCCTTGGTAATTCAGATTCCCTTAAATATCTCCAAAAACCTCCCATTTTTTCCTTCACTTGTGTAATAAAACCATCCCTTGTGTATTTTGTCATGTTGCACCCCATTTGAGACTCTACAGGCAACTTTGAGTGGAAACTAGGTCTCTCGGTGCTTATAAATAGTGTCTTTTTTTTGTATAGACTTCATTGCCTCTTCTCATCATTACTTTTGTTATACACCCTTTTCTTTGCTTCTTCCTTTGTGTTCAAATTAAGGGGTTTAATCTCTTCTTCTTCTAGTTATTTTTTCTATAATAAGCTTTGGTTTTCATGGTATTATGATTTATCAGCTAAATTTGGCTTCTTTTGTTTGCAGATTTTCTATTTGTCGGTCACAATGCAAAGTCAAGGTCAAGGCACTAGCTCTCGAGAAAACCCGACCTTAAGGCCTTTCTTGGAGAACAATGGGATGAACCCTAATAATGGTCATATCAGTAGCAACCAAGGCACCACCAGCACCATTGTTTCATCAAATTCACCGGGTCAATGTCAAGGGACTGGTTCTAGACCTTCTGGTTCTCTCCAGGAGGACCTGAATGAACCACGGTTAACATTAGACCTTTTCACAACTGGACGATCCTCTAGTAATCAACAAAGCCAAGCCTCTTGTGGTTCCTCAAGCCCAATCACGATCCATTCAGGAAGTGCTGGGTATGTTTTAGAAGAAAATATCGGTCTTCCAAGTAATGGTCAGTCAAGGCTTTTATGCAAAAGAAGGGTATCTGAAGTTTCACAGCCCCACCATAATATCGTGATCAACATCTCACATGAAGCTTGCTCCTCCAACAATGGCACCCATTTAGCTCGACCCGTGGCAGCTTCGTCGATCCAGGTCGGACAAACCGACAACGTTCAAAGGAATACTCGGCTAAGAACAACTGTAAGTCAACAAAACACTAGGCCAGTGAACGTGTCGGCAGCATGGAACCCAATCAATTTTAATGTTCAACAAGCTGCAACCGTTCATCATCACCCACGACCAGTGGTTTCCCCGCTTGGTCCGTTTCCAGCGCAAAACTCACCACAAATACTGGTTCTGTCAAATTCGGCCATGTTGCAGCAGCCTATTGTCGGATGCCCTAACCAGTTGCAGCAGCATCCTATTGTTGGAGTCCCTAATCAGTTTCAGCAGCAGCCTATTGTAGCAGTCCCTAACCCGTTGCAAGCTCCACTGCCTTCCCAATATTGGAATACTGGGACAGCCATGCCACCGCATGGTCTTCCATCTTTTGGTTCTTTATCTATGATGGTTCCACCAGTAAACACGGAACCAAACATGAACCTGATCAATGGGAACCCAAGCTTTGCCTGCTCTTCGGGAACCCAATCCGGTCCAGGCATGTATAATTCACCATTTTCGTCCTTGGGGTTCCATCAACCAAGTGTGTCTGATCAAAATGCACAGAGACTGCAATATTTGATCGACCGTAATGAGGCCTGGAGGACGGCACATAACTACCCCATATATAATGAAGCTATTCCTACTATTCAAGACTTCGAAGTCGCGTTAAGAAACAGTAATCACAGGCAAACTCAGGTTCCTCCAAGATCGGGAGCCATAGCTGAGAGACAAGCTGGTAATAATTTTCAACTCTCACGTCCAATGACGTTGCAAATGGCTGCTCAAAGGAGAAGAAGACTGATATCTCAGGTTTGCTCAAAACATTATTTTCTTCACGACAATAGCTTTTGAAAAATTGGGGTTTGGGTAACTAAAAATGCCTTTGCCATAACAGGTTCGTAATTACTTGCGAGCTGTTCGTTGGACGACTGGTGGCTTACGTACTGAGGTAAGGTTTAAGCTTTTCATAGTCATAAAAATGATTGCCATATATCAAGATTTTAACTTATAGTTTTGCACCGATGGGGGGCATTCTTGGCCAGGATCCCTTGGAAATGGGCCGTACATTTTTGCAGGGCATGTATGTGTTAGAAAATGTTCATGATGACATGCGTCTTGATGTTGATAACATGTCTTATGAGGTAACATTTTCAAATCTTAAATCTTTGTCATTTGTTATCTGAATTTGTTAGACCGAACATGATTTCTTCTATTTAGGAACTGCTGGACCTGGAGGAGCAAATGGGCAACGTTAGCTCTGGGTTAAGCGAGGAAACTATTCGAGCCAATATGAGGCGCCCAAAATTTCGGCCCATCACAGCCGAAACTGAACAATGTTGTATCTGTCAGGTTATATAAGATCATTCCATTTATTCGAATGACTCGATGTTATTTACCATCCGTTATTTCCCTAATCACGATGAATGGAAAACGGAACTAAACTGTGTTTCTATGTTTTGGAACTGTTACAGGAGGATTATGCCAATGGAGAAGAGCTTGGAAAACTGGATTGTGGACATGATTTTCACTTCAACTGCATTAAGCAATGGCTCGTGCAGAAGAATCTGTGCCCCGTATGCAAGAAAACTGCTTTGGCCATTTGAGGAGTTGGATCACCATTCTTACGACTCCTCAATCCGACAAAAACATCATATGCTGATTTCTTTAACCTGCATGTTTTAAGCATTATCGCCTCAGTAGCGTTATCTTTGTTGTTGTTGTTTGTTTACTTTTCGTTTGATGGGACTGTTTTCATGTCAGCTAAAGATATTAAGACTTTGGACTTTCTGAGTTATCCTTATGGTATAATAATTTTCTTTCCTAATATAGTTTTTTATGTTGTTTACATTTAAGCTGAATTTCAAATTATAAATCTATTATTAAACTCAGTTTTAGTTGTTTGGCCTTAAGTGAATCTGAATATGCTAACTTATCGTAAAACTTTCAATATGATCGAGAAAATTACATTGAATTATTATCAAAATTATGTTCTTCAAATAATTAAGGTTAGTATTTGCCCTTTTTAAAAAAGTTTGAGATTTATCCTATATTCTACAAAAGTTTTTTTTTAATAATTCCTACTTAAGAGAGAGAAGAGGAATTTTGTTTTTAATAAATATGGAGCCCATAGCTTCGGGGAGAGGGAAAATATTAATCCAATTATTTTCTCATTTAAAAATGTTAATCCGATTATTAAAAGTATAGAACACTACAAGAAAATATATCTTTAATGACACACGAACGATGACACACGCTAATTTATGACTTGCAAAACATGTGTGTCATAAAAAATGTCATGTTTCTTAAAATCTTAACGATTTATGACTTACAATAATGTGTTTCATATTTAATAGTCATAATCTAAAAAATTTAACAAATACACAGAATACACTTTTCATTGTGTGTCATCTCTAAAGGTCGTCTTTTAATTTCCCCCCCATAATTTTCATCTTCACTTCTTTTCGGTCTCTTTTTCCAGTATGTTTCCTTCTCTCTACGTACCTTTTCAAACTTTTCAAATACCAGCAAAAAATGCCCCCTCCCTTCCGCATTAGCATTCTCTTGTATCCCTTTCTCTTCTCTTCTCATTTTTCTTCAAAATCAGTTTCCTTTGTTTCGTTTATGGGGGTTCTGTTCAACAATGGAAAAGGCTAATGTCGAGAAGGTGAAGCGGCTAAGAGCTTAGGTTCAAAACTACGAATGGGGAAGATTTGGGACGGAGGAATAGGTGGTGAGGCTTTTGGCTTTGAATTCTGGGTCTGAGATTGAGCCTGATAGGCCATATGTTGAGTTTTGGATGGGAACCCATGACTCAAAGCCAAGTTTTATGGCTAATGATAATGGATAAGGTGGGAATTTGGGTTTAAGAGATTGGATTTTTGAAGAATCCGAATGTGCTTGGTCACAAGGTTTTGAAAAAATGGGGGCATGATCTTCCTTTTCTGTTCAAGGTTTGTTCTTTTCTTTTACACGTATTTCTCTACTTTCTTTTTGGGAATTTCTTTTTTTTCCTCTCATTTCCTTTGATTACTGGGAAATTTAATTTTGATTTTTGTGTGCATGTGTTTGGAATTGGGTTAATGAGTTTTCTTTTTCATTTTAATGGTAATGGCTAGAACCATATCAATCATTATTTTCTGCATTGTCTTACGACCACCATAACTCTTTGCTTCTACATTCATTGCACTTGCCGATAAAAAAGTAGGATGCTAAGGGAAGCCTGGATGATGGTTGAATCAACCATTTTCTATGCTGAAACTACTGATATAATTAGAATGGGTTGCATTTGAAAGCACATAACCTCATTCTCATATATAGCTTTGAATCCATCGAAAATGTTCAAGATTTCACAGCTCAGGAAATATTGGTATGGCGTATGCAGTTGCGGACTGATTATGTGTTTCATATGCTTTAATATATGTACTTTCATTGGCAAAACCCCTTTCAAGACAGGCACATCCGGATAAAGAATTGGCCAAAGAATTGCATAAGTTGAAGCGAAATCTCTATAAGGATGCTAATCATAAACCTGAGATGGCTTTGGCCATAACAGAATTCAGGGCCCTTTGTGGGTTCATTACTTTTGAGGTAATACATGAATCATGCTCGTTTTTTGGTGGTGAAACTTCCCTTTCCTGGTTGTCTTCTTCGAGTGAATTACTCTTGCCTTTATGTTTGCTAAAATTCTTTAATTATATTGTTCTCTCCATGATATGTGGATCTTGTAATCTAGGTCTTTACCTAATTGCATGCTTAATTCACCTTGGGCTTATGCACAAACTCACAATTTTATACTTTTTGTACTGTTGAAGTCTTGAAGATGGCATATAGTAATACTAATGTGAAACTTGCAATTTCCAGAGAAAAGTAGCAAAATGATCAACAAACAGAGGGAGGCTCTATTGAAACTACAGTTTCTTCTGGTCACTTGCATGAAACGAGTCACAAAGGTTATGATGTTCCAAGCGCTGCCACTGATGACCTTAAGAGTGAGAACCAGGAGATACAGATGGAAGTGGCAACTCTGGAGCATATGAGAACGATGTGCAGAATTGAAGGCCTTTGTCTCATGGAACACGTGCATTGATGTGTGATGAAGAAGACACAATGTTTATGGAAGTGAAGTCGCCTAATTTATTGACAAATCATTCTCGAAATGTCACTCATAAATCATCTAATGGCCATGAGTGCACAGAGGTCTATGCAAAGCAGGAAAGGCTTGTTTTGACATTGTTTCGTGATTTTCTCAATAAGCTCATTACTTGTGGGAGCATAAAAGGTAGCTAGTTGGTTTCACAATTCTATACTCCTAATTTTGATAATTTTATTAAGGGCAATATCTGGTTAGTGTTCCTTCTCAGAAACTCTCGAAATAGTTAAGTTACTGCCTCCATTACAATTTGCACTATATGGCTTTCTTTAGGGCTCTAAATTAACTGATTAATGTTGAAGGTTCTACTTTTGGGTGTTGAAAAATTCAGAATTGAAAGAAATAAACGATTAGTTTTCTTGTCTTTTTATCTCATCTTGAGATTTATTTGATTTTCCAACCTATATTTTCGATTCTCATTGTAAATCTTAGGTGTTAGTTTTCAATTAACGTTCTTAAATGCTGATTTGACCTAATACGTTTCACAGAGACAATGTGCTCTCCGTTGGCTAGAAGTAAAAAAAGAAGTAAACAAGAAGCCATGGAAAATGGTGCTGGGAAATTTGGGAATGCAGCAGTTAAGGAGCCTTATCCTAGCGGAATTATAAAGTCTCCGATCCCAGCACCTGTAGAAACAGTCACACTTTCCCTGCAGTATCTTCTGCTTTGTGTTTTGTATTAGTTGATGGATGCTTCTTGTTTGTACTTACCATTTTCTTTGATTCTGCCAACTATTGTCATATATATGAAGCAAGTTTTTTTTTTCTTCTCTGTAGGAGCTTCTTGGTCGATCCATTGATTTCTTGTGTACACGCCCGGATGGTAAGGGCATATTAGTTTAAAATATTGTGTGCAAAATAAAATCTTTGTCGTGAAGCCGAAAACTGCTTAGATATATCGAAGTGGTAGCAGTGAAGATTGTTGATTTGCAGTGCCAGGTAATATTTTGCAGGATTATCCGTTACGAACCGAACTTAATTTTACTCCAACCCTTTACATTTCAATTCCCTCTCGTTCAACGAACAACGGATTTAAAGACTTCTTACTGTGGAACGTCTCCGAAAGAATTCTTCGTGGAAACCGTATGTACTTTACATATTTGATTGTTTTCTTTTAGTTTTCTTTTATTTATTATTTATATGGATTTAAAGACTGGTTTAGGTATCTTGATATACTTCCCACCACTTTTGGGAATCCGTTATGGTTTACCGATGATTAGATGTTGGAATTAAGAGAAACAATCTTGTATAGAGCAACTGAATTGCGGGTAAATATAAGCATATAGTTTAACGTTTCTCTTAAAGATGAAATGCATGTAATTTGACTACCCATGATGATGAAAGTTAGTGTAATTGTTTTATAGAATTGAATTTTTTTTTTGTTAATTTTTTTTTAGACTTGAAGGCAGTGGCAAAATGGGAAGTTCATGTCCCAAAGGTAAGCATTAATGCATTATTATTTGTAATCAATAAGCTTAATTCTCAGTATTATTGGAAACGTTCTTTAATAAAATGTAAGTTCCACTGTCAATATGCCTTTTGTTCCTAATATTTTCTGTGTTATTAATTAGTTCCCTTTGTTTGGGGCTCTACTGCTATGCTTTTAACTGATCTATGAATTTCTTGTTTTTTGCCTTTATAATATCCTTTGTGTATTCTATTTTTCATGCATATAGCATCGCAAGCCTATTTCAAAGTTAAATTACTATTAATAGTCTATTCCCGAATACATTTAACTTATATGTGACTTCTGTGGTTACCAACTGATCGATATGTAATTTAGTAATCTAATTTGCTAAATCAGTGCGATTGAGTAATTCTTGTTTTCATACTTTATGCATTATTGTCCGTCTTCCCACCTTAGAGGGATTGTAATTGGAGTTCTATGTGCCAAGGTGGGTATTTGAGTTATACTATATTTCCCGTTTAGAAGTTGTGAATTAAGCATGTTGATTAACATAATTGAATTATTTTGATTCTTAGTTTTTTACATAATTGGACTGCTTAGCGTTGTACTATTCTTGTTCCTTATCACTTCATTTTCAATTTTCTTTTGTAGATATACAATGAGCAAATAACAGATTTATTGGATCCAAATCAAAGAAACCTGCAGGTAGAATGGATTTTGTGCTATAATTTTGGGAAGGGTTCGGGAACAGCTGGTGCATCTGATGTTCCTACTAGTTCAGTTGAAGCCAATGCTCATTCACAGCCTGTTTCAAGAGTTCTCAACTCTAAAGAAGCAACTTCAAAATTGCAGAAGAAGCTAGAGGAGTTGCATCTAAGATCTTATAATCTGTTAGTATCTTCTTATGATAATCTGAGAACATTCTTGGTTTTTTGTTTTCAAATAGCCATAGGTGATGGATATTATGTTTGTAACTTAATGTGAATATATTACATGCAAACGGATTGCTTATATATATATATATATATATATATATATATATTTAGTATTAT